CACAACAGGTTTCTCAGAGTTTCCTGGACCTTTCTAAATATGTTTGTGAAGAGATGGGTTGAGAGGTTTATTGAGGCCACCAAGACCTGAACCCAGAGAGGTTTTGTGTTTCCTGGGTATTTCTAGAGCTAGTCTGACCAAGAAGAGGTTCTCTTAAGTAGGAGTCACAAATCGAAGTACAGTTTTATTTGATTCCCCACGTCTTGTTTTTTTAATTAAAACTTTTATCGAGATTATAGCAAAGAAAATTGTACAGAATAATACAGAGAGATCACCTACCTGTATCCCTTACCAGGCTCACCCACATGGTGACATTTTACCAAATTATAGAATACTGTGACAACCAGGATACTGGAATTGATAAAATCAACTGGTCTCATTCACATTTCTGTAGTTTAGCTTGTACTGGTGTGTGTATATAGTTCTATAGAATTTTAACACGTATGTAGGTTCATATAGCCACCACCTTAGTCAAGATATTAAACAGTTCTATCACCACAAGGATTCCTACACCCACTCCCCTCAGTAGCCCCTTCTCACAAATTCTTGGCTACCACTGAGCTGTTCAGTCATTTCTGAAATTGTGTTGTTTCAAAATGTTATATAAATGGAACTATACAGATGTTACATTTGGGGACTGGCTTATTTCCTCCCACTGATTTATTCAATTTGTTGTCCAGGCCACTAATTGTTAGAAGGGCTCCTGATGGGTCCTTGTTACAGGCTCGCCTGGTATTTTCCAAGGGGCTTCTGATAGGTTCAGGAGAAATAGGCCCTTCCTGTACTGGCTTCTGATGCTAGGTCAGGGTCAGACACACCCAGTCAGGGTAGCTTCCTCCTTCTGGGAGAAGGAAATTATACTCCTAACTGCTCTGTTGTTGTTCTAGTCTTGGAGTGCTAAGCCCATTGGGAGTTCTCACAAGCTTTCAGACTCTCCGTGGTTGCCTTTCACATTATTTCTGGACATTCTAGTTGCACCGATTGGAACTAGAGTAGAAGTCCTCATGGTGGTTCACATTTTCCTATTTATCTTCTTGAGCCCTTCCCCCCACCCCCATGAACCCACTCTCTTATTTTTATAAGTTCACATATTTACCTCTTATATGTTTGTGACTTTTGAAGGAAACTTTGGATCCATCCAGGCTCACTCTCAGGCCTCTATTGGAACTGGAATACTACAAGGGTTAGGATGCCTTTACCTATAAATATAGCATATGTTGCTAAAATTGACTTAAACAGTGAGGAGACTAGAAGAAGGCTTGGCAGTAGCCAAATTATAGGTTTGGCTAATTCAGTGAGATTCCAGCTCAGTATCTTGGAAATTCTCTTGGTGTTTTGTTCATGGCAGCAAGATGTCTGTTGCAGCCTCAAGCATTATATCACTTATGACAACTTGCAGTCTTAGGCAGGCACAGGTTCCTGTTTTGTGTCCTTGAAGGGATGCTTTCCTTGAAGCCCTCTAATAGATTGTCTCTTATGTCTCATTGGCTAGGGATGTGTCACATGCGAGCTACTGCCAGTGGGAATAGAATTACTATAATTGTCTTGGAGTAATTAACATTTACTTTACTTATCTATGGTTTTGGAAGTATTTCATAAATAAAGCACATGAGTATTGAATTTCAAAATAATATCAGTTTCCTTTGGAAGGTAATGGGTGATAGTGGCTGTGGTTAGGCCATACTAGACTAATTTAGTGTGTTATTTGTCTTACTTTAATCCTAAAGCCCAATCTGATCTTTGAACTATAAACTGGCAGAGATTAGATAGAAATTAGGATTTAGGAGAATGGAATGCTGAGATAAACTAATTCAACTACAGAGTTGGTCATTAACCTGTAAAATTATGTTTGTAAGGAAGGAAGTAGATTTTAGGCCTGATGGTCATAGTTTCAAGTCAAGCTTAAAGTCACAACTTATAACTGGGTTACCAGGTTAGTAAGATAGCCTAAGAAAGTGGCAATAATGGTCCCAGGGTCAGACAGGAAACCAGATGTCATCCAAGTCATGTTAGGCCCAGAGGCTGCTGATGGATTGGTTCAAAAACTTGACAGGTAATTCTATAAACACATGGCATCAGCGATGCTTGTTGAAAAGAAAAGGCAGGGGCTCCCATTGAAAAGTCTGTTCATCAAGGATTATTTGCCATCCTAAATATAAGTCACTCTGCAATGCACTTTGCAATTCTAGAAGATTTATGTCATTGAGAAATATCTGGTCTTTATGTTAATTTTTTAGAACACTGATTCAATTCAATGACTGAGAATTATTGAAAACTGGGTTCATTTAGCAAAGCACTGTTTGATATTATTTAGAAAATAACCCATGATCTGGATTAGGGCACTGACATTGGGATAGAAAATAGGCTTAATTAGTTGAGTTAAAAAATACTTATTAATGCTAGCATTAATTGAAGCTTTATGTGCCAAACTCTATTCTAGGTACTGATGGTTCAAGTCTCTATCCCTGGGAGAACATACATTCAGTTGAAAATTTACTAATTAGATGCTAGGCTCTAATCGAACATGAGAGTGCAAAGATGCATATGTTCTCTAACCTCAAGCAGTTTAGTCTGGAAAGCAAAATAGCACAGACTCCTTACCTGCCCTGCTTATCACTGAATTCCGGGGAACCAGCAGAGACACTGGCACAAAGCTGATGCTGAGAGCCCTCTTTCTGCACAAATGATACGGAAGCAACCAACGGCAATATTGCCTGATACCACTGTACTGAAAGTGCTCAGGGAGTGAGGACACAGGAATGGTTGATTATGCGCTCTGTGGAAACGTAGCAAAGGGGAGCCCCACAAGCAATGACATTTGAACTGAAACGAAGAGTGGGCAGGACTGGGGTAGGTGAGAAGTGAAGAAACAATGCACAAATTGGTGAACTTACTTTGGAGTCTTGAGAAATGGCGAGAAATGAGCATATAAAGGAACCTCTAGTGAGCAGATGATGGCTGGAGATGATCTTGGAAAAGTAGGATGGAATGATTTGGGGAAGAATTAAATATACCCTTTAAGTGGTTTATACTTTATTTTGTACCTAATGGAAAACCATCAGTTTCATTTAAGTGTATCAACTGCATGATCAGATATGATTTATAGAACGAATACTCAGCATTGTGAAGGGTGAGTTGGACACAACCATGAGCCAGGGATTAAATCAGTGTAGGTATTGGCAGTAATCCAAATGAAAAATGCTGAGAGCCAGAGTTAGGGTATTGGCCTTGGGAATGACAAAGCATTTTGTGGGCATTGAGAGATATTTTAGAAGTAGAATTCATGAGACTTAATGATTGATTGGGTATTTATGGTGATCAAGGAGATGGGGAATCAATTTTTACTCTGTGGTTTTTGGTTTGGGGACTCAAATGGACAGTATTGTGGTTGACTAATCAAGGGATAGTGTTCTTGGGGAGAGGATTGAGATAAGCTCTCTCACTGGAAATATTATGGCACAGGAAGTACAACTGACATAAACATTAATAGGGCATTAGTTACTTGGAGTAAGTAAGGTTTTTATTTTTATTGAAGTATAACATAAATCACAAGTGATCAAAGCAGGGAATTTGGCATAAAGTGACACACCTACATTTACATCACCCAGGTTAAGGAATAGAACATGCTTAGCACCTGCACATTAATAAATATGTTATGCTAGTCTGACAATCAACGTACCTAACAGTCCTAAAACAAGTAGTTTTATTTTTTTGTAAAAATTTTACTGAGTCTGTTTCTTATGTCATTAGATGAAACTAGATTTTTTTTCTCAGTATTTGAGAACTATGCTTGACCTGGTTTGACTTAAAATGTGGACTTCGTGATAAACAACAGAGAGGCAACTTAAAGAGGTAAATAAGTAGTTACTATCCAGCGTAGCTGAATCTGAAATACAAGAGGCCCACATGACTACAGTAGGAAAGTATGCCATACATACCAAGGAGCTGAGGACAGAACAAATGGGGTTTGCAGATAAATTAAATGGTGTTTTTCAAATTGAAGGTCATTAGTGCAGAAGATGTGAATTATAGGCATTGATTTTCTGCTTCTTACTTGGGTAATAACTATAGCTAATATTTATGACCTCTTACTATGTTCTTGGGACAGTTCTATGGTTTTTATAGGTATTAAATAATTTAAACCTTACTATTAGTATCATCAGCTGAGGTACTTGATGCAGGGAGTAACTGTGTAATTTGCCTGAAGTCACAGCTAGGAAGCTGTGAAATGGGGGCTTTGAACGTGGGCCCTTGGGTGCAGAACCAGTGCTGAATATTCCCTACATGGATGCTAACCTCTATGGAGTCCGCAAGACCCTAAGAAGCAGCAGAGGAACTTAGATAATTAGTGGTGGACAATGATGTTTCCAAGCCATTGCTAATTCTATGACACAGCCCTGAAGGTTCTGAAGGAATAATTTAATCAAGAGGCAGTATAATGGTATGTAAACATAGGAAGAATATTTAACCTCTATTTATTCATACACTTAATAATTCATTTATTGAACATTTGGTACGAGTCAGATAATGTGCTTGTTCAGAATTCTAGAAGCCTTAGAAAAGCAAGCCTATCAGCAAATGATTACAGTGTGATAAAGAATCTTATAATGGGGCTGATGGCAGTTTAGAACAGGAAGCGTTGTTTCCTGCCTGGAAGCTGAGTATGGAGAAAAACATTTGAATCGCCTCTTGCCGGGTGAGCAGAAATTTGTCAGATAAGATAGAAGACAGAGTATCAAAGGCACAGGGGTGCAAAAACCTGGCTGGAGGGACAGGCAAAAGCCAGACGAAACAGGTTTTATAAATCAGGCTAAGCCTTCATTTTACCTAGTTCAGATTTCAAACTTCTTTGACCCTGACAAATTGTAATTAAACAATTGTTTAGTGGCCTGAAGGTACGCGACACCGGACCTGCGATGCCAGGGCGGCGGGGCTCAGCTCTGCTCTGATGTGGTCTGGACTCCCGCACACGGCCGGGGTGCAGCGGATCCCAGGCTGAGATGGATCAAGAGGACAGGGTGCTGGACGAGGGGCAGGCAGCTCAGCATCAGCTCACGGAGGATACTGAGCAGTCAGTGTGCATCTTGGACATGCCTCCATCTCCTGGAAGCAGAGTGCACACCCCTGGGAACCATGGCTCAGGCAAGCAACAAGACATCCTTTGGTGTCCACAGCTGGAGAGGGCCCCCTTGGTTCCTGCTGAGGCGCCCAGGCTGAATGCGAGTGAAATGGGGCCGCGGTTCAGGGTGTTGCTGCCGGAGCATGGTAGGAACTACTGCCTCCAAGTGACTCGCCCTCCTTCCCAAATGGTTTACTCTCAGAGAATGTCTCCTTCTCAACCAAACATGGAGATTTTCAAGAAAAGGTGGCATGATGTCCTTAGGAGAGCCCAGATGATGTCCTTAGGAGAGCCCGATATTCAAGGGATGGCTATGACCTTCAGAGGGGATCTGAGGCCCTGCAGTGGGCCACCAGTCACAGCTTCCAGTGAAATCCCAATGTCCCACATTAGGATGCGAACAATGCCTCATTCTGGCCACCCTGCAGTACCTTCTAATAGAGACTCTTTAACACTTAAGATGTTATTGCCCCCAACCATGGCTTCTGCTGAGGGCCAAGCAGTGCTCCCCTCTTTGGCTCAGATGTTGTCCCCTAGAGTTCCCCACAACTGCGGAAGGAGACCAGCTCGGTCCCCATCATTGCTGACTTTAGAATCCCAGGACTCTTCTGTTAGCCAGCTAGCCTCCCAGGAAGACCCCTTAATACTTGAGCAGCCCATAACTGTTCCACAGACAGCAGAGCAGAATTGCAGGGCCCTGGAAAGAGCCCTGGTTGCAAGGCCTTACTGCTGCCAGCATGAGAACTGTGGAAAAGCTTATGCTAAGTGCTCCCACCTCATGAGTCACCAACGCACACACACAGGTGAGAGGCCCTATATATGTATGTGGGAAGGTTGTACATGGTCTTTCTGCCGTTCTGATGAGCTTGGACGACATACACGGATACACACCAGATACCGACCACATATATGTGATCAGTGTGGCCGAGATTTCATGAGATCTGACCATCTCAGGCAACACCAAAGGATTCATCTGCGGGCACCAGGATCCCCTAATCCACGGGCCAACAATGAACAGATGGATGGTCCTCCTGCTCCTGATCTTTAGGTCAATCTCCTCTTCCCCTCATTTTGGCTTCTCCATGCAGATCCTGCCTGCCTCTGACCAGCTGGTCTCTGTAGTAGGTACAGGCTTAGATGCGGACCAAGAAAGATTATGAGGCAGTGTTGAATGAAGCCCATATGAGCTCTGGACTCCATCAGGGACTCCAAAAACTGTCGTGGATGCCTTTACCTCTCTGGGGCCACCTACCTTTGCTGAGGTTAGCCTCATGGAAAGACGGAGCAAAGTAGAGATTGGGAGCTTCATTTAAAAGTTCTTTATCTTCTGTCACTCCCCAACTTAAAGCCCTTCAGTGACTCTTTGCCTGCTACATAAAATCCAAGTTTCTTCTCTTTGTCTTCCACAGTTTCCAGAGCCAGGCTATGTTCAAATCCTGAATTTATCATTTACTGGCCATGTGACCTTGGAAAGGTCTTGGATCACTATGCCACGTTTCCTTTTCGGGTAAATGAGAAAAACCCTATTGGGCTGTTTGGGACACATCTTATATATTGAATCAGACTATCTGGCACTCACCAGCCACAAGCCCAGAGTTTCTGTCTCCTCCTACCACTTCCAGACTTGGATAGAATGCTCCTCTGCAGGGCACGGGATCTGGCATCTCAAGTAGCCACTAGCAACACAGAAGGGTTGGGGGGTAGTTAATGATCCTGGGGTAACATTTGACTAATGAGAGTTGGGAGAGACCCAGGCAGATAAATTCTCCTCTTCCCTCCATTCCCTAAATTGCTGCAAGGCAGNGCCACTAGCAACACAGAAGGGTTGGGGGGTAGTTAATGATCCTGGGGTAACATTTGACTAATGAGAGTTGGGAGAGACCCAGGCAGATAAATTCTCTTCTTCCCTCCATTCCCTAAATTGCTGCAAGGCACCANCCCAGGCAGATAAATTCTCCTCTTCCCTCCATTCCCTAAATTGCTGCAAGGCAGTTTCTCCCAACAGCACAGCCAGTGGGGAGATCGCCCAAGAAGCCAGTGAACACACCTACTGTGCTTCAAGGTTTGCTGTGAAGCTTGTCTCCTTGCATCACCTCCCATTCTCCCCTGCTTTTCTTGCCTTGCTTTTCTTGTCTCACTCTCAGTTCTTTGCGTTTACACCATCCAAATAAAACACTGGTACTTAAGCAAATTGTTAATTCATTTATTTTTTAATTGTATTCAAAACAGAAGTTATCTGAAGCGGCTTCCCATTAGTAAAGTATTGTTCTTTATTTTTCCCTTCTNACCTCCCATTCTCCCCTGCTTTTCTTGCCTTGCTTTTCTTGTCTCACTCTTAGTTCTTTGTGCTTACACCATCCAAATAAAACACTGGTACTTAAACAAATTGTTAATTCATTTATTTTTTAATTGTATTCAAAACAGAAGTTTCCTGAGGCGGCTTCCCCATTAGTAAAGTATTGCTCTTTATTTTTCCCTTCCNGTATTCAAAACAGAAGTTTCCTGAGGCGGCTTCCCCATTAGTAAAGTATTGTTCTTTATTTTTCCCTTCTTTGTTTTCACTTTCCTTTTAAAAGAAATCTAATATTTTCTATACTTCATTGAAAAAAGCTTGTTTGAAATCACCACCTGTAGAAAAAGAATCTTTTAAGTGACTTACCATACTTAGGTTTTAGGAACATCACTCTTGACTTCAGGGTGAGGATTGGAGGGAGAGAACCCTAGTGGCCTGATGTGAGATCCAGAGCCAGTGACAAATTATTCAGAAAATCTAGGCAGGAAATGAGCATTTAGATTGAGAAATTAGATGAGAGAGAGTTGCCATAATTATAAGAGAAACTGTCTGAGACTCAAAGATGGTTTAGATACAGGACTGAGAGCGAGAAAAGGAATCCAGAACGAGACATGCGGGAGTTCATATACTTTAATATTAAAGTTTATGAAAACGTAATAAATTCCTTTTTAGATTTACAGTACTCCTTCCTGACAACTATCAAAATGACCCATCCTTTACACATCAAATTTTCTTCTATCTAGGATCCTAATTAAATGATCCTGCTCAAGAAAGGTTCTTTTCTCCTTTTATGACCTCATGACAGGCTTTTAATTTTTCCTCAAGCACTTCAAAGAATTTCCTATCTAGCAGATTATGCACAGAATCCCATTAGAGAATAATTTGAAAACGAATAAAATGTTTGACCCTTATAAAATTCTACATGAAAAGAAACAGAAGAAAATAAGTCTCTGGCCTTAATGTTCTCTAAAGTTGTAAAAACTGTTCTGATGATTTAAGAAGTGGGTTAGCTCATTCATGAGGATATCGTAAAGGATATATTAGTGTTTGGAAGAAGCCGCTGTTGTGGTAGTGTGAAAATCACATGGCTCAAAAGGGGGAACATCTGTTTCGTATGGTTTCTGGAGGCCCTGAGTGCATAAGCAGCGTAGATGAGCCTCTGGCTCAGGGTCTCTTACAAGAGCATAATCGAGGTGTGGCCGGAGCTGTGGTCTCCGCTCGGGCTTCGTGGGGCAGGATGCTCCTGGGCTCACTCCGGTGGCGGGAGCAGAATTCAGGCTCTCCCCAGTCGAACTGAGGGCCTCACCAGTTGTTGGACAGGTGCTTTCTAGAGGTTCCCTCAGTTCCTTCCCACATGGGCCTCTCAGTTGGCAACTGGCATCATCAGAGTTAGCAAAAGAAAGGAAGATGGAAATACAATCTCTTTGAATCTAATACTGGAAATAACATGTCATCTCTTTTGTCCCATTCTATGAATTAGAAGTGAGTCACTTGGTCCAGTTCACCCCTCAAGGGGAGGGGATTACACAAGGGCATGAATACCAGGAGGTGGGGGGCTGCCTACCACAATTTTTTTTAAGGAAAGCGCCAAAGACTTTGGGGATAAACATATTCTCTTATATTTTTACAAATATAGGTACTTTTACATGAAATTTTTGCTCCTTGTTTAAATATCAGGATATTTAAAGAAAATAAGAAATAGGTTTTCAAGGCTTTGAATCAGTTGGCAATGCAGAAAAATTTGGCAAAAACAGAAAAATAAATTTGGAATGGATCAGGAGACCTGAGTGCTACCTTGAGGCCTAACATTAACAAAAATTCATGATCTGCTTCTGCAAAGCCTATAAACTCTCTGTGCTTCAGTTTTATGATCTATAAAATCAAATGGTACTTTCCATCAAGGGCTTTCAAGCTTTTTTGACTGCAACACACAGTACAAAATTTATTTTACGTGGGGCCCAGCCTGGTATACACATAGGAAACCAGTTCACAGATAATTGAAACAAACAGTTCTAGAAACAATAATTACTCTTACGAAATACAAGGCTCACTCTGGTATTTTCCTTTATATTCTATTCTGTTAAAATACTTTGTTCTATTTAGTAAAAAATTGAGATGATCTAGCTAAATTTTTTTTATTACCTTCTAATGAATTCCAGTCCTCAGTCTGAGAGCAGTGTGACACCTACAGCTACTCCTAAAACTGCAAGAATAATCTAGGGNTTTTTATTACCTTCTAATGAATTCCAGTCCTCAGTCTGAGAGCAGTGTGATACCTACAGCTACTCCTAAAACTGCAAGAATAATCTAGGGTTATATGTGAAGATGATGAAACAGATGAAGAGAGAAAGGTGCACATATGTCCAGTTGTTTATTAGGAGGCTATCTTTCTCTTTGCTATCACCAACATGTATGTGCAGTGGTAGTCCCCTGCTTATCCACGGTTTTGCTTTCCACAGTTTCTCTCACCCATGGTCAACTGTAGTCCAAAAATATTAAATGAAGAATTCCAGAAATAAACAATTCATCAGTTTTAAATTGTGTGCCATTTTGAGTAGCATGACGAAATCTCTCAGTGTCCCACTCTGTCCCACCTGTGATATGAATCAACCCTTTGTCCAGTGTATCCACAGGGCATGTGCTCCCCGCCCATTGGTCATTTAGTAGCCGTCTTGGTGATCAGAGAGAAACCACATTCACACAACTTTTTTGACAGTATATTGTTATGACTATTCTATTAGTTATTGTTATTAATCTCTTACTGTGCCTAATTTATAAATTGAACTTTATTATAGGTATGTATGTCTAGGAAAGAAACCTAGTATATATAGGGATCAGTTCTATTCAGTTTCAGGTATCTACTGGGGTCCTGGAATGTGGTCCCCCCCAGAGAAGGGGGAACTGCTCTACTGCATCTCAGTGAGGAGGAGGTGGGCAGCTATTTCAAAATGCTAATAATTATGTGGGACGGATAGTCTTAGCCTCTGGCTATCAACTCTCCCCCAATTTTTTTTTAAAAAAATCTTTATCCAAGGATATGTTTTTCTTGATTTTTAGAGTGGGGGTGGGGGGGGGAGAGAGAGTAATATGAGAGAGAAACATTGATTGGTTGACTCCTGTACACACCCTGACCGGGGATGGAACCTGAAACCTAGGTTTGTGCCGTGACTGGGAATAGAACTTGCAACTTCTGATAAACAAGACAACACTCCCACCAACTGTCCCACTGGCCAGGGCCCCCCAAAGTTCTTAACTCCTCCAAATCACCTGCCTTTCCTAGTCCACTAGGTTCAAGGGGCTATTGATTCTGTCACATACGTGCTGTGCTTTGTTCTCATTTACTTGCTCATCTCTGCGTGTACTATGGTTGGTGTGATGTGCAATGCTAACCATGAGGAATTTCCACTAAAAAAGGAATTTTACCTAGATCGGGAAATTTTATCTTTTTCTTTTTTCTTTTTAAGTGGTATTGTGCTACTCTTTTTTTTTCCCCTTTTTTTAGCATATCTTTATTGATTTCAGAGAGGAAAGGAGAGGGAGAGGGAGAGAGAGAGAGAAACATCAATGATGAGAGTCATTGATCGGCTGCCTCCTGTGAGCCCCGCACTGGGGATAGAGCCCGCAACCGGGGCATGTGCCCTGACCTGGAAGCGAACCTAGATAGCCTGGATCCTAGGTCGATGCTCAACTGCTGAGCCACACCCGGCCGGGCAGGAAATTTTCTCTTTACCGCTTTCGCTATACTACTTACATTA